GTTTCACACACAAGGTAGCTGTAGGTCTGAAGATAATGATCTATATGTAGATTTGCTATAGTAATTGTTTTGGTATTGTTAAATTTGATGGAAACCCTTAAATAATTAAAACATGGATCTACTATCAGATATAACTTTAAAGACTTTTATGCCACATTAGCTGCCTGGATGAAAATATTTCATCACTCATTTGTTGAAATTACATATATGAAATGTTATAATTGTACATATAGGGTTTTTTTCTGTGCATTACATATATCTAAATATGAGGTAAAAAACCGAATAATAATAAGTACAGTAAGGCTATAAGGCAGTTACTTATTTGGCCATATCCCTCATAAATATCTCTTTCATCGACAGAAATTAAAAGTGTGAGGGGTTTTTGCACCTCTCCTCTTGCTCGACCATCTGAATCAGCTGCAAATATTCTAGGGAATGTCTCTAGTAGCTCTGTACATATACAGACTGGGACGTTCTGCCCGTTATTTACTCAATTGCTGTAACACAGTTAACTTGAATATGTAATGTCTGTGGACATCAGGTTTCACATCTTGCCAATAATCTAATAGCTGGATCTAGGTTTGGACTGAAAGGGCCATTCTAAGAAATTAATTTGATTAATCGTAACATACTATAGGCAGTGGTCTAGTAAAAGAAGGGGGATGGTGGCATTTTTTTTTTTTTAAGCATACATAGTCTAATTAATATAGTCTATTAACCTAAAGCAATATGCATGGTATGGTTGCTATATGTCAGGTACGATGGTCATTGACCTTGACCAAGGCACCTTACAGTAGAACTGCAGTCAGTTCCTGGACTTGCATGGCTATCACTGCCCCTACATAGTTAGGGACAAATGCAGAGAACAAATTTCCCTCTGAGATCAGCTTGATAGTCATGGTAGGCCACTTCTTTGATTTTATTTATTTTGCTCACAGCCCGACAAATGTTGAAAGGGCATTATCATTGCCATTACTGTTAATATATAGTAGACATTCTACACATTCGGTAATGCAATGTCATAGGGGATGGTATGGAGAAGAAGAAGAAGTTTTTTTAAGAAGTGGGATGCCATCTTCCCTCATCCCCCCTTCAACTTGAGACCTTACTATAGATATGTTCTGTTTGCATCTTTGTCCTGCTCATATCTACTCTGACAAAGGCTATATTATATGAAAACAAGTCATTTTATTTTAGTTTTTTTTTTACACTTTGTTATTAGTCCATATCAGCCATGGGTGAGATTAAACAAAAATTTTACAAACTGATGTTATTTTTTTCAAGTTTCCCATAAAAAATGTAAAATGTAGAAAAAGAAATTGAACCTTTTGTCTTAACCCTAGAGGAAACAGATTTGATGTTTCCAGAGAAGTTGCGCAAACAGAAATCCCAGCTCTGCGTATTATTGCGCACACTGCTGTCAGTCTGATGGAAGTGAGACAGAAAAAGGAGGAGTTTAAACGGGACTGTTGTGAGTAGAGGAGCAGGAGGAGGAGTTTGGTCATTCAGTGGAAGAAAGGAGCGCTTACTGACAGAGCTGAAGAGCAGGAGTTTGACTTTAGACAGAAACGTGCAAAGAAGAATCTCATTTTTTGAAGGATCCCTATTTATTAAAGAACATTTTTTTCTCCTTTCCCTGGTTGGATTACCTTTGAGCTCTGATGCTGTCCCCGGATCATGAAAGAAACGCTAACCATGAAGTTCGCCTGGAAAACTAAAATGGTAAAATAATAATAATAGCAAAATAAAATAGTAAAAAGGACAACTAGGTTTGTCGGTCTGTGCTGTTTGTGGTTTAGGAGCAGGGGGGGGGAGTGGGGTTAGGTTATAGGGTTGGTGGTTGTGGGAAGGAGGAGGGGGGTGTATATAGGGGGAAAGCTGTGGATAACTGGGGGAAAGAAGGAGGGGTGAGAGAGGGGAAAACAGCTGAACACTTTTGTTTTTATTCTGGTTTAAACTCAGTTTAACCCACTTGGAGCTTCTGCGTAAAGGCGCAGACTTTAGACTGGCGACCTGGGAGACAGGCTCAAATCCTCGATCTGTCTGCTGATCCATGCGTGATGATGGATATGAAAACTTTTGTTTGGGGATCCACAGTGTGGCAGAGAAAGGGAACAATTGGCGCAGCCCCCAGGGGCCAAAGCAGTGGCTCCAAAGGGCCCCAGCTGCGCCCTGGAACGAATAACATGAAGCAGATCAGCGCCTTAGATTTAACATACGTTATTCTGCTTTAATGTGTTTAATACCATCTGATAATGTTAAACCGCTGTGTTTGACAGGAGGGGCCATAGATGTGCTTCTATGTTCTCAGAACGTTTGCATGTTCTGTGGAAAGATCAAGATTTAATCTGGATTTCTGGTATAAACAGTTAATAGCTGAAAGTTGGGGCTAGAAGCTTAACTTCTAGTCTGTGAATAACCCATAAAAATTGACTGATAATTTCTTAAAACAACAGCAGAAACATTGCAGAACATCAGCTAAAATATTTTCATGAGCCATGTCACTTTGCATTCGAAGCACAGAGAAGCAAATCAACTTGTGCAATGGAAATGGAGGTTGGAGCCTGTGCATCCTCAGTTATGCTCCTGTATTTAACAACTAATGAAATAAAAATACACTCAATAACTATCTGTAATAAAATAAAGAGCTATATAAAACATAAATATAATGACAGTTAAATACTCGTTGCTTCTACTTTGCATAACTTCTCTATCAGACAATTACTATTGGCTCAAATGTATAATGTGGATTCTGGTTTGTTTGTCACTCAGGATGAATATTTGTGGCTCACTGTCCTCTGCATTAACTACATCATCATTAGTTTATTTGAAAAACAAACATCATCTAACTAATAACTAATCCTTGCATGTAATATGGATCAATACTGTATGGACCCATTTGTGTGATGATATCAATGCAATCTTGTCTAAATGTTTAAATTCAAGTGTTAACATGGTCAGCTATGGTATTTTTTTAGCTAAACAGTTATTTTAAGAAGGCTGATGTTCACTTTGATGTTTGCCACTCTCTGACTAGCGGTTTGGTTTAGCTTCAGGTAATCTCCAGCTAATCCAGCTAATCTAGATTTATTATATGTTCTCTTATGCTTTGAAAATAATTGTATAGGTTTCGAGTTAAACATGCAGCAAGGCAACCCTGTAAAGTCAGAAGTGTGATTTCAGGCGAGCAGCTCTGTGTTCCAATCTCCATGCATCCAGTATCTGTTTGCATCTCCTGAAACGGAGGCACAAAGAGTGCTGAACAGTTTATTAACCATTTAATTTAGTATTTTCATAAAAACAAGCTCTGCATTAAAATAAAGATAAACGTTTTAATATCCTCTTTTATTGCTTATAATTGTTAATCCAAAAACAAATAGCCAATCGGATCAAGTTCAGATCAAAGCGACAAATCCAAACTATCATTATATTTAATAAACATCCAAATTTATCAGACGGAAATGTGAATTAAACAGCTTGAAATAAGAGAATAAAACTTTACTTAAAAATTCAACCTTTTTTCACTTTATTGCAGAGCTAATCTGTTGTCTTTGCTAACTTGCAGCCTCTGTAAACTCAATTTATACTGTTGTTGAAATACCTTCTCTTGTAAATGGAAATGTTTTGGTTTCCATTTGCATGCAAACTCCAGGAATGCAGTCCCAAAATAATTCCTCATAACGTTTTTGCACTGAAACACATTTCCATCTGCAGCACATGAAATAACAGACAGTGTGTGAGCAGGACTGTGAACTCAGCAGCAGTGAGACCTCCCGCTATTGTTTTGGGAGTGTGTGGACTGCATGACTCATCCACTGATGTATTTATCTGTCTCTGCGCCAGTTGGCGGGACATCCAGGAGTGGGTCAGGACAGTCACAGGAGGGACATGTTTCTGCCCATCAGACAAGATGCAGAGCATGTTTCCTTGCTGAAATCATTCATACTCTATTTCCTTTTTTCTTTTGTGAGGTGTTTTTTTTTTTTTTGGTTTGAGCAGAAGCCCATGCTTCTTTTCAAACCAAAACACAACCCAGTCATGGATGAGTACCGCCGGCCCTGTAGACCAGCCATTGAGCCTGCTAATGGCGATGCTGACCCTTGATCCCTTTGCTGGCGGGCCGGGCGCTCTGTTTGGGGAGTAGAAATGGACTTTGCCGCTGAGCTTTGTAAATGAGAGTCGGAACAGTCTTGGATAGTGTTGTCTTTGGATTTTTGAAGATCTGTCAACAAATAAAAACAACAATGCACGGAACTTATTGTTTATTTTTGGCCATTTCTACTCCTTCTTTGCCAGCCCAGCCTCTGTTTTTGTCTGTGTATGCTGTCGCCTCAGCAGATCTCTCCAAGCAGGAGTTCTGCATTATGACTCCAGTGTGTTTGTTTATGCATTCAACTGTTTGGAAGTAATTTACATCCAGATAAAGACATAACAGTCCTCGGGTACAAGATAAGGAGATATCTATTTAGTTTTAGTGCTCTTGCTTTCAGCACACATTTGCTATCGTGCTCCTTTTAACTTTCGACACACAGACGTCTGTTTGGACCAGGAGAAGTGATGATCTAGGTGTTTGTTTAGGGGACTTTAGCTTGTTATCTTCTGTCTGTCTAAGCTCTGAGAAAGCAGTCCAAACCAGATTTCAACTCCAGAGACAGGCGGTGAAGGAGATGGATGTGGAATAAAAGAGGGAGTAAAGAAAGAGGGAGGGAGGCCTGGCAGGCTGCTGCACTGGTGGGGGTTGGGGAGTGTGTTCCTTGATGTTTTACTGCACTCCTCTCTCCATACTTTGTTTTACTTTGTGCTGTGGTTGTGTTTTTTCTCTTCAACCTTCTGTTTTTTTGCACCGCTCTTTTGTTTTATAAAGTCAATGTAATGACACTTGTGCAAGTCAGCTCGGCAGCCTGCAGCTGCTTACTGGAAGTGTTTTTACCTCTTATTCCTGAACATGAGTTCGCTCTTCTTCTGCAGAGGTTCAATATGATCTTTCCTCCTCTTTTCAGAGCTCGGTTCAGGACTGGGGGGAGGAAGTTGAGGAGGGAGCCATCTACAACGTGACACTGAAGAGGGTTCAGATTCAGCAGGCAGCGAACAAGGGAGCAAGATGGCTGGGGGTGAGTTTGAACATGAAGTGGTGCATCTGGTCTGACTTTTCCAGCAGCGGATCAGTTCGCCTCTCTGCCAGTTTATGAGTCCAGTTGGTTCTCTCTCACATTAACCACACCCAAATCAGTTTGATTTTTAAAAATTTTGATAAATCATGATAATATACGCTAATAAATACCCATACACCCTGTGCAAAAACCTGATATAATGATCCTACAAAAAAACTAAAAAATCTGTCATATGTGGACGCACTGTACTGTATATATCCCATGCACCTTTTTCTTCCTTTGGCACCTTCTTCTTTGAATATTTGAGCTGATGTAACAAGTAAATTACTCCACTGTGTGAGATAAATAAAGTCAATCAATCAATCAACCAATCAATCAATCAATCAATCAATCAATCAATATCATTTACTCAAGATTGTTTATTAAAGCATATTGCCATCGGTCTGTGGTTAGGAGTCCCATTTATTGGTATCACCTCTGATCAAACTAAAGTAACTTTTTATTGGAGTTGTCATCCACATTCCCTCTTAAAATTTGACATATTTGTCTCACTTTATTTTACATTATATTACCATATACCTCCTCACTTCTGCTACATATCCATAAAAAACCTGTACCTAAACATCACCAGCTTAATTTGTTCCTGCAGGTGAGACATTTATTTTCAATACAGAATTGAATTTATCAGTTTTTCTGTATATCTTTTTGTTACAACCTTTAACTATTTACTATTGCTCTCATCCTGTGTGGGCCAGTCCAGTTCATACTATTATATCAGCTTGTATTTGTAAATGCAAATATGTATTTGTAAAAGTGACCTTTTTCAAATACATATTTCATCCTGTAGTTTTACAACCAGATTAAAATTACAGTAGATAATGAGTAGATCATAGAAAATATAACTTAAACTAAGTTGGTGTTAAAATGGGCACAAAATGAACCCAAGCAGACCCACTGACTCCTGATGCTTTTCTAAATTCTCAGTTTTCTGCCATAAAATGTAAATCCCATACTTTATGTTTTTGCATTATAGAATCTCTTTTGTTATTAATGTGCAGTGATTGTTTATTTAAGCCATTTATTGATTAGAAATCCATAAAACCTCAGCCCTTTTGTAAGCCCCATGCATTGTTCTCCACCCACACTGTTATTGTTTTAACATACTAAGCCTGGCAACACCTTTCAGCCCCCCTAAAAAAAAAAAAAAAGCATTTCCCTCTATCTGGACTCTGCTGCTTCGTTTTTCCAGCTGCTAGTAAATCTGCTTGTTTCCCGGCATGGTGGGCGTGTCCTACAAAACGCTGGTATGGATGAAAACAGAGTATTAAATGCTTTTCCAGATAATATAAGACATTAGTGTTTTCTTGGCTTTTATGTCCAGCATAAACAGATACACACTGTAGTATGCTTTCAGAGAGAGATAAATTAAAGGGATATGTTAGTTGTATAAGTTTTCACAGAGTTTCTGTTATTGATAAATCAGCGCGTTGTACTTTGGTTTGCCTGTCTTTTTGTAAGGGGCTTTGTAGGGCCTTGGTAAGCTGCACAGTAACACAACAGTAGCTATAAAGGCCTGTTGATGTACTGACAGTGGTGAGAGGAACCAATTCAGCTACAGCTAATTAAAATAATGTTAGTGTTTCAAAGATTGCCAACTACTAATCAGGAAAAACAGGAGAAAACTCCAGCTGACACATCTGTAGATTTGCTGGAAATGGCCGATTGTCATAGCAGAAAAGAAGCTATTATTAGTTCAGTTATATTCATGGGATTTCAAAGTTGCAGTTCTTGTTTATTTTCCTGAACTGTGAATTATGACGTCGAAGCCTTTGTGTGTGTGTGACCTATCGGTGACTCAGTTCACAAGATAGAAATCTCATTCGTTATGTGAGTAGGCTCTTATCAGAGGGGAGTGGTGGGAGAAGTTTGCTCTGCCGCTGTCCTCCTCTGCGTCTGGAGGGCCGGTGGAGGAGGGGCTTCGCTGTGATTAGAAGCAGATTGGAGTGTTTCCTGTTTCACTGTGCTAACTTCACCAAGGTCTCTCCCTTCTGAGACTGTGTGTGTGCCACCCTCCCTCAGTCTTTCCTTTACGGATCTTTTTCCAAGCAGCTCGATTCTTACTCAGATACAATAGTCGGACACATCTGGAGAATCTGGAATTAAAAATAGGTCACAGTTATCATTGCTGCTTCCTCCTTATTCTTTATCAGTGATGGATGCATTTGAGCTCAGACTATAATTTATAAGCCAACATAGTATAAACATATCTATTATTGTTTTGCTCCAAAAAATGTAATGAGTGAAACTTTTATCCTGACTAATGCACATTCCCATTGTCCTGTAAATTAGGACACTGTCTGAAGTATTTTAGCATAGAGAATGTCACCTGTCAAAAAAAGGAAGAAACTTAATAATAGATAACATGTTAGTGAATACTACTGCTATTTGGAAAATAAATATATAAAAAAATGCAATCATTAAAATAAATGCAATACAAAGGACTACTTAAACTGTACTAGTATAGATAACACTTTGCAAGAGCCATGCTTTCACCCTCTGCAGGCCAGTCACATATCCAGTCAGCTAAATGTTCTTTAGGCCCTCCATTTGCCTAGTTTTAATAGCTCAGATGCTGAAATTCACAAAAAAAAACAAAGGAAGAATTGTTTAAGAAAAAAAAAGAGTGAAAAATGGTAGGTACATCATAGATAATAAGAGAGTCTGTAGCAATAATATTGTTATAACTTGTTGCTGCTTTATCATGCAGACCTATGGAACATTTTAATACCATGTCACTGTGTTTCCAATTACATTTGGATACAAAATTACATACCTAATTACATCTATATGTTTTATTTAATTTGTTGAACTTTATTTTTATATCTTTGCTATTATATATATATATATATATATATATATATATATATATATATATATA